TGGAGTTGTAAGTTTTCCTTGTCTGTTTTGGACATTAATCTCTTGTTGTGTATATTGCATGCAGATATTGTTACCTGTTTCGTTTGCTGTGCAGAAGCACTTATTCAGAGATGCGGTTTCCATTCAAGATTGCTGAGCTTTGCTTTGTGCTCTGGAGAAAGTGCATGTGTCTATCTGTGTGTGTGTGTGTGTGTGTGTGTGTGTGTGTGTGTGTGTGTCTGTGTGTGTGTCTGTGTGTCTGTGTGCATGTGTGTATGTATTCTATCACTGTCAGATGAAGTGCCCTATGTGCCTATTGGGTACATCTGGTCTAGAGTGATAGTCAAATCCAGTGTTTTCTTACTAATTTTCCATTGGAATTATCTATTTATTATTGAAAATGTTGAGTATTAGAGATGCCATTGCTATTATATTGTGGTTTGTTTCTGTCTTTAGATCCTTTAATATTTATATATCTAGAGGAACTTTGATGTCGGATACAAATATTATTTTATTTTATTAAGATTTTTTTAATGCAATCTTTTCTCATTTTACACAGCTATCCCCATTCCCACTGCCTCCCTCCTCCCATCCCACCCTTTCCCCACCCCCATCCCTATGGAATGCATATATTTTTACAACTATTTAATTCTTCTTGATGAATTGACCTATTTATTATTGTGTAATGTCCTTCTTTGTCTCTTTTTATATTATGTCTGTTGCAAGTTGAGCTACCCTGCTTAGTTTTATTTTTTGAGTCTGTAAGGTGAGGTAAGTCTCTTGTAAGAAGCATACAGTTAAGTAAGTTTTCATTTAGTGACTTTTTTCATGAATTGAAGACTTGAATCTGTTGTATCTAGGGTAATAAGTGGTAGGGTGGGACTAATTATTGGGCTAGAGAGATGGCTCAGTGGGTCAGAACACTTGTTGCTCTTATAGACGACCTTGGTTCATTCTTAACACCCAAATGGTGGCTCACAGCCACCTGGAATTCCAGTTCCAGGGTAGCCTACACTCTTTTCTGGTGTCCTTTGTTCCATACATGTGATACCCATAAGTGCATGCAGACAACACTTACATGCATAACATAAAGTAAATAAATACGAGTTTTAAAAAAGAGCAGATTATTGTTGTTTTGTTATTTTCTGGTTGTTTTATAGTCACTTCTTAAAATTCCTGTCTTGCTTGAGGTTGGATGGTTCCATGCAACAGTATACTTGGGATCCTTTCTATTTCTGCTCTGTATATCAACTAACAGTTTTGCTTTATAGTTACTGTGAGGTTTAAGTAGATCACTGTATGCACGTGTAACAGCTTGTTTCAAGCTGATAATCAACAGCTACTTATATTTGTGTTTTGGTCTAAGTAGTTTCCTTGATGACTCCTGGAGGGTGAGGCTGGTGGCTGTGAATGTTGCCTTTGAGGCAGTGTGGACTCACCGTGCACTCTCCCTCTCTCCACCTCCTGTGTGGGGTTTTAGGTGCAAGCTACCATACTCCATTCTTCTAGTTTTTGTTTGTCTCAGAAAGTTCAGTTCTCTCTCATTTATCAAAGACAGCTTTGCAGGGAAAAGCCTTTCGGTTGGCGATATCTCTTTATCACTCTACTATCTCGGCATCCCCTTCTCTGCTAGCTGCAATGTTTCTGCTGAGAAGTCTCCTGATAGGCAGTATTGAGACAGCCTTTTAAAGAGATATGTCTGTTATCTTTTGTTACTCTTGGACTGTTTCTTCCTTTGAGTTTGAGTGTTATATGTCATAGTATGCTCTCTTTTGGGTTGAATTTGACTGATGACATCTGTACTTTCTGTCTCTGGGTGATGGCTTCTGGAAATTCCCAGCGTCATTTCCAAGTTCTTTCTGGTCCTCCTTCCTCTTTCTATAGCTCCTGTGATGTGAGTGTTTGCTCTCATGATGACCTATAATTTACACAGATATTCTTTGTCATTCTTCTTGTTCCTTTGTTCTATCTATCTTTTTTGTCCCGTAGAGTTTCATTGAAGATTTTTATTAAGCTTTTTATTTTAGTCATAGTATTTTTAATTTCCAATATTTCATTTTTTAAATATTATTGCTGTTAGATTTCTCAGTATTTGTCCAAATTTTTAACTGAATTTTATTATTTTTTATAGTTCTCTGAACTTTTTTCTTTGTATTATTCTGAATTCAATTGTCAGACATTTTGTAGGTCTTCATTTGTTTGGGGTCCATTATTGTAACCTGTCAGTTTCTTTGCAAAGTGCTCTAATATTCTTTGTTCCTTATTTTTTTTTAATATAGGGTCTCATGTAGCTCAGGCTAGCCTCAAATTTGGTCTGTAACTAAGGATGACTTTGAACTTCTGACATTCCTGTCAGCTTCCCAAAATGTAGGATTACAGGTTTGGTCACTGTGTCCAGTAAGAGGTTCTGGGGATAAAACTCAGGCTCTGAGGCTCTCTTACAGCTGAGATACATCCAAACCCAATGATTTTTTTTTTAATTCTTGGTTGTACTTGTGTCTTCCTACTGACGTCTGCTTTAGAGAAACACCCGGCCTGGCTTTTACAGTGTTCTTCGATGTACTCCAGGGTCAGCTAGTGACAGAGTGGGGTGAAGCTTTTTTACTTTGAAATACTTTTGCTATCTACTGGGATAATTTTTCATTTATTTCTACATATCAAATATTTTAAATATTGCTTTCAACTTTGTTACTTAGATTGAACAGGTAATATTTTACTTCTCTTTTGATTAACATTTGTAAGGTTAAAAAATCCTGAAATCGTGCTTTTATTTTGTTCAGATATACATAACCATGAATGTTCATACCTGTTAGTAGGATATATTTGTGTGTGTATGCATGCACGGGTGTGCTTGTGCACAGGCATGCACTGACAGCAGTACTAACATTGCGGCCATCAGAGGACAGTTTTCAGGAGCTGTGTCTCTGTCTTCCCTGTTGCGCAGGGTTTCTCTTGTTCTGTGTGGTGCTGCCTCTTCCAGGACAGCTGGCCCACACCTTTCCAGGTGGTTGTCTTGTCTGCAGTCTCACTGGATTACAGATGATGTCACTGCACAGGTTCTGTGCCTTGAACTTGGGAAGTGAGACCTTTATGGCTAGCGTGTTTGCTCTCTTGGCACATTTGTCCAGCTGTTCCTTGGGTTCTTTTAAACCTAGAGACCTTAATGTGCTTAAAAAATTGCACTGGCTGGGCAGTGGGATTTAATAATCCCAGCACTCAAGAGGCAGAGACAGGTGGATCACTGTGAGTTCAAGGCCAGCCTGGTCTACAAAAGCTAGTTCCATGGTTCCATGACAGGCTCTAAAACTACAGAGAAATTCTGTCTTAAAAAACCAAGAAGAAGGAGGAGGAGGAGAAGGAGGAAGAGAAGGAGGAGGAGGAGGAGGAGGAAGAGGAGGAAGAAGAAGAAGAGGAAGAAGAAGAATTGCATTGATTTGAGCATTGAAAATGAATTTCAGATCATTTCTTCCTCTTTATTTCTCAACCTTGGAAACTATCTTATTAGTGTTTTATGTGCAGGGAGGCAGCATAGGTGTTGACTGACTATTGAGTGTGTGTCCTGGTTAGGTTTCTATTGCTGTGATAAACGCCATGACCAAAAGCAACCTGAGGAGAAAAGGGTTTCTCCAGCTCTACAGTTCCAGATCACAGTCATCATGGAAGGACATCGGGGCAGGAAGTCAAGCAGGGCGGGAACCTGGATGCAGAAACGATGCCAAGGCCGTGGAGGGTGCTGTTTACTGGCTTGCTCATCGTGGTTTGCTCAGCCTGCTTTCTTGTAGCACCCAGGACCACCAGCCCAGGAGTGGTCCACCCATTAGGGACTGGACTCTTTCATGTTAATCATCAACCAAGACAATGCCTCATAGGCTGGCCCACAAGACAGTCTGGTGGGGACATTTTCTCAATTGAGGTTCCTTTTCCCAAGTGACTCTAGCCTTGTCGAGTTCACATGAAACCAGCAACACAACCTGTGACATTTGTCATATGTTTTAGGTATCACAGTCACACAATTTAAGGCTTTTTAGTTCCACATTTTGACCAATCTGATAGAATTTAGTTCTTAATTTATTCAGTAGTAAAATAGGAAATGCAAACACAATTTTTCTAGTTCTTAAAGAAAGAGTAAATTAAGATGTGAAGAAAATTGAACAGACTTCTAAAAAACCTCCAAGTTCTTATATAGAGAATTTAAAAAGAATTTTTATTACAAATAGTTAAATATAGTTCAGAATTAAACTCTTACTTCCTTCCCAACTCAGATACTTGAATTATGCTCCTGGAGCTACCACCATTAACAGTTTCTAAGTAGCCTTCCACGGTGTTCTGTGTACTCAAGGGTGTGGATATGAGTTTGCATATGGATACTAGATCCATAAGCATCCTTTTAAAAATAGTGTGTTTTGGATGGCCTAAATGTATTTTTTCATGTAGTTGAGAAAATTGGAAAGATTGATATACCTTAAGATTAACTATTTTCTACATGTTTGTTTAATTTCTTTTTAAGTGTATCATTAGGTGTAAAGTTTCTTAAGTGCAGATTATTTTTAGTAGAAAAGTTAATTGATGTGGAAGATTTCCCCTCACTCCGTGTTTCCAGTGTCGGCCGTTCTGAAAACGTCTGCAGGCTGGGAGTCAGTCTCGTGTGGCTGCAGCGCTGTGCTGTGTGACTGTGCTCTTCCCTCTATTCTGTTTGCGACCCTGGGAGCAACCCGAGCCTAGTGTCTGCTAGGGCTGCTACTCTATTGTTGAGAGTGGTTCCCAGCTGGGGGATTTCTTCTTTTAAGTGGTGAACAGATTTTTTTTTATTAAAATGATGATAAAAACTAGAATATTTTCAGAACATGTAGTGACACAAAAGTAAACTTAAACGAGTTTTCCGTCTCTCTCTCTCCCTCTCCTTTCCCCCCTCCCTCTCTTCTACCTCATCTTTCTTGTTCTTTTGGATACTTGACTGAATTATTTGTTTTTAAAGTTGTGGTAACTAAGCTCATTGTGTGCCTTATTAATTCTGTGTTTAGGCATGTGTGGACGTAAGAGCCAGCTCAGTATTTTGGCAGCAGATGGAGTTTTCGGAGCGTCTTCATGGCTACCCAAAGTTGCCAGAGTGGCTGTCAACACACCCTTCTCATGGGAACCGAGCTGAGCACTTGGACAGACTTATACCACAGGTGAGCTAGCCCAGACCACAGGTGAGCTAGCCCAGACCACAGGTGAGCTAGCACAGACCACAGGTGAGCTAGCACAGATCATCAGTAAGTTAACTCTGCTAATCTTGTTACTTTTAAAGTATAGAAAAAGTGAGCTTTAATGTGCAGTTATTTTGGTTACTATAATTATTGATTATTGGCATTCACAGAGTTGGACTGAAAAGGAAAGCCCTATTTACCCACAAGTCTTGGGTATAGTAGATTTGTTCCCGGCTGCTCAGCTCTGAAGTAATCACTCAGAAACTATATTATTTGCAATACTGTTTGGCCAATAGCTTAAATGTCTTTTTAGCTAGCTCATATTTTAAATTAACCTATTTCTGTTAATCTGTGTATTGCCATGTGGCTGTGGCTTACCGGCAAGGTTCTGTCTGGTATCTGTCTCTGGCGGGGCTACATGGCTTCTCCTTGATTCCATCTTCTTTCTCCCAGCATTCAATTTAGTTCCCCCACCCTGTCTACCTCTATTCTGCCCTGACCTTTATTAACCAATGGTATTCACAGCATACAGAAGGGAATCCCACATCACTTGGGGAGTAAATTGCTATGTACAGCTGAGTTTTTTCAATGTGAAGGTCTAACTCTTTAGTGTCTGACTTTGTAACTAATTTGGTAATATTTTAAAACTTTAGTTGGGCCTGGAAATATAGTTCAGTTGATGAGTGCTTTGCTTAGCCTATAGAAAACGCCTGATTGCATCTCTAGCACCCCATAAACTGTGATGATACACACTAGACGTACCACACCAGCGCTTGGATGGTGGAGACAGGAAAATCAGGAGTTCGAGGTCAACCCCAGCTTCACAGTGAGTCTGAGGTAAACATGGGCTACATGAGACCCTGTCTTAAAGGATAAGCAAAAAGGGAAAAGAAAATAACTTTTTTTCAATATGTTGGTTATAATTTGTTTTTTCTTTAACTTTTGGTTTAAAATGTCTGTTAATAAGCTATATATAAGTTTTGGATTAAATGGGTATCAACTCTAGTTTTGATTTGTAGTTTTTGTTTGTTTGTTTTTGAGCCAAGGTCACACTGCATAGCTCTGGGTGACTTTGAACTTACTGTGTAGACAAGCCTGGCCTAGAATTCACTGAGATCCCCTGTTTCTGCCTTTGCCTCCCAGGTGCTGAATTTAAAGATGTGCTCCCTCATGACTGGCTCTTGTCAATTTTTTGTTTGTTTGTCTGAGACAGCTATATGAGCCTAGGCTGACTTTGACCTTTTGTGTACAGGCTGACCTTGAACTCTGGGCTGACCTTGAACTCAGAGTGCTGAGTGCAGCCCCCGTGCAGCCCCACCTGGTTTGTATAGTCCTGGGATCCAGTACAGGCTTCATGCATGCTGTGCAGGAACTCTGCCAGCTGAGCTACACTTTCATCTCTGTGTGACTTAGAAACAGTGGGGATTTGTTTGTAAATTCAGAAACTGGGAAATCTTAGAGCAAGATCGATGTCTTGTAAGGATCCAGTTTCCAGCTGATGGATGTCTGTCTCCTAGTGTAATCTTACATGGTAAAGTAGGAAGCGTAGGCTTTGGGCTCAGTTTGTCCATCTTTCCATCTGTCCATCCGTCCATCCATCCATCCATCCATCCTTTCTTTATTTATGATTGTATTTTAAGTCAGAGCCCTCATTCTGGAGCAAACCATTTTGCTTCAAAGAAGGTGTTCTTGAACTTGAGATCTTCCTTTGTCAGTTTCCCCAGTGTTGGGACTGTAGGCATGGGTCACTATGCTAGGAATAGAACATCTTTTAATGAGGCGCTGATCCCATTGGGATTGACGTTTACAATCTGATCACACCTTAAAGGCCTCATTTTATAAGGCTATTACCTGGGTATTAGGATTTCAGCATGTGAAGTCTGAGAGGCACAAGCACATTGGTTGATTAGCACCTTTTATCTGAATCAAATCATATTTAGATCTTTAACATGAAGGAAAAACATAGCAAAAATAGTAGTGAAGTTTACCTGATGTAATCTGTAGTATTGCTCACTTAAACTAGGTAGTATGTGTGTTTCACCAGTAATTGATTATACTGAGGGCCAGCGAAGACCCCAGATGTTAGAGGCCCTGGGGAGGTTGTGACTTGTCTCTAAAGTCATGACACACACAAGTTCTTTTCATTTTAACTCAGTTTAATTCTAAACTGTGTGGCTTGTTAAAACTAGATAACAGATTCTACCATCCAGCTGTGATTTGAAGCTGTCATTTCATCAAATCCCTGAGGATCTTAAGATAGGTTAAAAAAAGATGTGTTTAAGGGAGGTCTGTGAAACAGGAAGGAGTTGATTAGAGAGCACAGGGAACATGGCTGGAGAAACAAATGTTATTGGGAGCCAGTGAGGAAGGAAAGCAGGGGAGATCTTTTTTTTTTTTTTCTTCTAAAAATAAACCATCCCAGTACAGAAATTTAATTTGAAAACTGCAGGTAAATTTCTTATATTTTTCCCCCAAGTGATTAAATTCAATTTGAAAGCAATAAAACTCTACTACAACATTGGGAATAATTCAGTGGTTGAGGCGAGAATGATAGTTAGTACAAGGGTATACTGTTAATTAGAACACACAGTCATAAAGATTGAAATGGGCTGCTCTCCTATGTCTGATTCTATAATGGAAGAAAGCAGCCATGTATGGAAGATGTGTTCCTACATGCCGCTAAAGACTACATTCTTTTTCTTTTTTCTTGTTTTGTTTTTTTGAGACAGAGTTTCACTGTGTAACAGCCTTGGCTGTCCTGAAACTAGCTTTGTAGACCAGGCTGGCCTCGAACTCACAGAGATCACCTACCTCCGTCTCCCGAGTGCTGGGACTGAAGGTGTGTGCCATCACTACCTGGCAAGACTACATTCTTATTTACTTGGGATTATTTTTCTAAAATGTGTACAGGGTTGAATTTTACTAAGGCTTCTGTCCCCTGACATTTGAAGAGTCAGACACATTTCTAAGGTCCAGGGCAAAATGGTTTGCAGCAGACGCAGTGTTTTCAGTGGTGTCCTACAGAGCTAGAGGAACTGGTGAAATCCGTAAGTTCACCTAGGAACTGAGTAGAGAACAAGGTGAAGGGTGGGTTATTCACAGTAGGGGTCCTCAGTGCTTCCTCAGAGAGAGGACAGAAGCAGCTGTGATTCAGATGTTTGGGGAAAAACCAAGAGAGCAAGACCTTGTGGTTCTGTGATGGGAACATAAATTTTCATGACTTTAACATTTAATTTCAAGTGCTAAGGATTATGTCTATTTTATCAGATTCTTAGAATGCCATTATGAAATATATTATTTCTTGATATAGTTTATCAACATTAAAGATATATTAAATGTTGAATTTGAATCACTATGTTGATGTTGATGTTGAATAACTATGACTTAGGTCTTGTATAACTATGCTGTAGGTCTCGTAAGTGATAGGAATAGCATAGACATGTTCACCCTCATCCACCCTCCTCCACCCTCATCCACCCTCCTCCACCCTCATCTTCCTCCACCCTCACCCTCCTCCACCCTCACCCTCATCAAGCCCAGTCTCTAGTAAAGGAATTGGACAGCTGGGGAGATGTGAGAGGTGAGGCTGTCTGGAGTCTCTCTTTGTAAAGACTCTAGTCCTGTTGGTTAAGGATCCCATACTTATAGCCTAATTTATCCTTAATTACCTTCTTGTAGCCTCTATTCCCAAATATGTACATACTGGGGGCTAAGACTTTGTAATATGAGTTTCTGGGAAAACAACTGATTCTTGGGTGGGCAGCTAATAAGTGAGCAGAGATGGTTGTTGAAAAAGCAGTTGAAATGGAGTAGCTGGGGTTGGGGAGATGGTTCAGTGGGTAAGCTGTTTGCCATGGAAGAATGGAACTGTGAGTTTGGACCTCCAGAACCTGTATAAAGCTGAGCATAGTCCGCAGTCCCAGCACTGCTCCAGTGAGACTGGAGGCAGAGACAGGAGAATCTCCAGAAGCTCAGGCCAGCTGCTCTGCGGTACACAGCACTGAACTAGAAGAGGCCCCTTTTAAATAAGGTGAGGATCAACACCGGGAATGCCCTTTGTCTTCCAGACAGGTGCCTCTGTCTGCATTCACGTACACACACACACATGCACACATGCACACACTGCACACACACATGCTCATTAGTTTAAAAAACAAAGTAAAGTGGTCCCAGTGAGGTCTCTGAATTTGCTCAAAGGTAAGATCTCAATGGAGGGCCCTGAACAGAGACTGGGGACACGATGTCTCTGACTTGTCCACTCGCTTTATTCTGGAGGAATTGGACATCATATTGTTCAGAGAACAAACTACTCCCTCCCTTGTTTTGTTTGTTTTGTTTGTGAGCTAGGTTTTCTCTATGTAGTTCTGGATATCTTGGAACTCGCTATGTAGATCAGGCTGGCCTCAAACTCAGAGATCCACTTCCCTGCCTCCCCAGTGCTGGGGTTAAAGGCAACGTGCCACCACACTGGCTTTTTATTTTGTTTTTGAATCAAGATAGCACCATCAAATTGAGGGGAAAAATACACTTACTATTTTAATTCTGGGGGGAAAACAACATGTATAAATGCTTAGTTAATCATGTCATCCACTAGTATATGAAAGTGATAAATATAGGTTTGTAGTAATAATATTATTTGTTGTTGGTTAGCTGATATGATATAATTTTATTTACTTGAAATAATCAGTTAGATTTAGGAAACATATTCCACATATTTTGGTTACCATAACAACTTGGGTGAGAAACTGAAGAACAGATGTTATGTCAACCTGTTGATGTTTCATAGCGTGAGCTTCAGAATTACAGTTATGCCATTTAGACTTGGAGTTTATGTACATCATAATTTGTCCTTGAAAGAAATACCTTATTTAAGTATAAAATATGAATCAGTGTGAATAACAGAAATTTTGTTGAAATGTTTATTTTAAAATCAGATCTTTCAGGCTGGTTTTCTCTGTGTTTCTGCTGGTTTTCTTTCTCCCTGCCATTGTTCTTCACGAGGGTGACAGGGTGGGCAATCATAGAAGAACTAGAAAACATTTAATTTGGAATCACTGTTAAGGTTATATAATTATAATCATAATTTGAATAGGATTTGTTTATAAGTATTTTAATTGTAAACAACATTCCATCTCTAGGCACGAGAATCACTTGGTAGCAGGCTGTAAATGCATTCATTTTAACCTCATTTTATTTTTAATCCTTTAAACTTTCAGGCAGCTGGGAATTTGAACTCATGTGTAAATCATTCTTATGCATTTGTAATTGGATAAAACAAATGAATAAATCATTAATATTGTGCCTCTCATGAGCAGAGAATATAAGTGTTTAGAATTGCCATGAAATGTCATTGTTGGCCATGTGTAAAACATACGCTGTTCACCTTGCTGAGCCTCGTTTTGTCTGGCAGGGAGAGTGTTGAGGAATCAAGTAGCAGCTACTGTAATTGAATTGGCCTCTGAATCCTAAGAAGCCAGGAAGTCTGGCACTAACGTTGTCTAAAACCTTAAGAAACTACATAATGGCTAAGTGAATGGACTGTTATAAAAAATTACTTTGAAGGCTAAGACAAGAAGGAGTAATGGTGTGTGTACGAAATGGAGGTGGCCCCCAAAATATCTTGCTCTCTGTTTCCAGTGGGCTCTTTTAATCTAATCACAAAGCCCTTCTGGCATTATTTTTTTCTCCTTTCTCCTTTCACTTAGTTACCATTTATATGCTATGTATAAATAATTTCTGTCTCATTTGATGTGTATTATGTAGAGAGATCCCAGTGTATGCCAGCAGCTGGTTCATACTTCAGTTGTTACTGGAAATAAATGTAGCCAGAACCTTTAAAAAACAAAATACTTGTGCACTCATTGCTCATGCCTTTTTAACCTTTTGAAATGTTTTTAATGGGATATAACAAGATGCATGATGTTTGTACGCATAGTGGAGTGTCAGGTCAAGCTAACAGGCAGAATCGTCACCTCACAGCTTTGGAGGGTGATAGCTCGTGTCCACACTCGTGGCCGTTTCAGGTGTACACTGTCACTGGTTGTGCCGTCTGCTACACGGTGGTACTCAGAACTTCCTCCTTTCATCCCACTGAAATGTGGTCCCTGACCAGCATCTCCCCATCTCTTCTCTGCCCTGGTGGTCACCGTGCCCTCAGGTTCTGTGAGCTGTTTCATTAGGTCCCATGTGAGGTCACACTGTGCCCTTCAAATTCATCTGTGTTGGGACAGATGACAAGAATTCTTCTGTGTTTGCTTTGTTTTTGGAACTTCACTCTGTAGCTAGATCTGACCTTGAACTTGAGGCAGTTTCCCAGCTCTCCATTCAGAGTGCTGGGGTTCTAGGCCTATGCTACACTGCCTGGCTAGGATTTCATCATTCTGGTAGGAGGGGTTGGCTAACAAGTTTTGTTCAGAAACCTTGGCCTTATTTATCATCCCTGAGAGCAACCTACCTATGTCAAATCAGCCTTTTCATTTATTTTATTTACTGAAAGTTCTCAGTTACTTCTGCCTCATAACTTTTGACCATTTCAGAAATGAGTCAATTTCAGACTTCAATTTCCATTGTAGTTTGTAAAAATAAATAATTTGAAAGATAAATATTTTGATGTGTAACTCTGATTTGTATAAATATTTGTGAACATACATTAGATATTATTTAAGTCATTAATTAATGAGGAAAATGGTAAAATGTCACAACTAGTACAAAGGAGAATTTAGCAACCATAATATAAGACGTCCTGTGTGAGACTCAAGCACGGCAAACCCAAGGCCTTTGTGTAGTCTTGTGGACGAGGAGCACAGGCTCTGCCAACCCAGCTGGAGTTCTACTGAGGGAGTTGAGCCTGGGTTTTATCTAATCCAGGAGTTGGGAGCTGACTCCAAACAGGGTGGCCATAAATTCTGTGAGTTCATTGGACTGTGCAGGTCCAAAGAAGCAGCTGTTCACGCTGCCATTTCTCTAACCTGCAAGGTGTTGTTAGGGTTCTGAAATTGGTTCCCTCCGGCAGACTCGGGTTTTGACCTGACGCCTGTGGCTGTCTTGCTTCTGTCCGTAGACCTCTAAGTCTCAGGGAAGGATCTATCCATCCTTTGTCTCTCCCTTCCCCTCGCCCCCCTTTCTCCTCCCACTGCTCCTTAGCCATGCTTTAGCTATTGTGGGCCTGACAAAGAAGAGCATAGTCAACAGAAACAGCTGTTATAAAACAGCTTCACGCATAGGGCAATAAACAGTGGCTTCTTTCCAGGCGTAGTTTGCCTCCATTTCCATAGACACATATAAGTTTCATTATTATTAATATTAAAATAACAGAAATAAGGCAAGTATTTGGTGAGGCGTTTTAGCCAAATGATATTAGTTAGTAGTAGCTCAGGTTAAAATCAGAAGTAATTAGAATGTGTATATAGACATGAAGCCTGGTTTCAAAAACTGTGTGGTGTTGTGTGTATGTTTATGTGATGTTGTGTATATGTTATGTTTATGTGGTGTTGTGTGTATGTGTATGCTTATGTGGTGTGTGTATGTTATGTTTATGTGGTGTTGTGTGTATGTGTATGTTTATGTAGTGTTGTGTGTATGTGTATGTTTCTGTATGGGCTGTTACGGTAGACGCAGCTAAGTATAAGAATGGCAGGAAGCTAGAATGAACCTCCTTAGGTTAATGTTGGAAAGAAGCAAGGTGTCAGTAAGTCAAATAAAATTTATTTTAGAAACCTGTATAGTCACAGCAAATTAACCAAGACAAGGGCTCTGAGCCATAATGGGGCTTTACTCTGGCGACTTTGTTCACAAGTGCAGAGAATAATTACTTAGTGACTTATTAGTTCTAGCATCAGAATATAAAAAGGGACATCAACTATCTGTCTCCTTTTATGAGCACAAATGGTTTTGTTTCAGCAATTTGATTAAAACATCTTTTAAAATTTATGAGTTGGGATCATTAATTAGCCATCAAGTCAGCGTATATCACAGTTATTATTTATCACAAGCAACTAAATTGTCCTCACATCCATAGGTGGTGTCTCGAAGACACATAAGGCTGAAATGCATTCCTGACTTTGATTTCTCTCTTTCCTATTCTTCTGCGCCCTGTCCACAACAGTCTTTGGACTTCCTCCGGTGTGCATTAGGAATCTCCGGGGACCCTCACCATGGCCACTACTTAGAACAAGTCACCATCGTCTCCTGGTTCCTGAACCTCTCTCCCTAGTCCATTATTTCCATTAATGGCCTATTTGCAACGTACAACGAGAATTATCTTTTACATGTTATTTTCTTGCCTAGAACTTTCCAGAGTTTTCTCATGTAACTTAGAATGAGAATCTACCCTGTTCTAGTTACTTTCTGTTGCTGTGATGAAACATTGACCGAAACGAGTTTGGGGGCCGGATGGTTTTATTTAGGCTACAGGTCACAGCCCATCACTGAAGGGAGCTAAGGCAGGAACCTGGCTGGGGTCAGGGACTGAAACCGAGGCTTCAGGAGAACGCTGCTTCCTGGCTTGCTTTCTTATATAATCCAGGAGTGGTTCTGTCCACAGTGGGATGGACCTTCCCATGTCAATCATTAGTCAAGAAAGTGCCCCACGTACACACCCACGGGCTAATTGGATGGATGCCATGCCTCAGTTGAGGCTCCCTCTTCCCGGGTGACTCTAGCTTATGTAATGATGATAGAGCTCTGCAGCTCCGTCCCACAGTCTTCCGAGCGCTGCCTGTCTCGCTCCACGGTTCTCCTTGGTTCTACTTGTTTTACACCAGGTTTGTTTCCTCCCGATAGACCCCCCCAGTTGTGGATTTCTCTGTTCCAGACGCCACCTTCCCAAAGGGGCTTTTTCTGGTCCCTCGGTATCAAATAGCCTGTCTCCCATGCAGACATTCTCCCTTCTCAAGCTAGAATGGTCTTATTTCCTGTTGATTGTCTTCTACCATGAAATATGTGGCCCCTGTTCTCTATGGTCTCTCCAGTTACTCCACGGCTTCTGAGATACCCAGTGAATACTTAAGTGACTAGGCTATATAATAATAGAAAACAACAGGCGAAAACAGGACATTCTGCAGTAGAAATGAATGATGCTTTCAATGCTTAGACAATATTAGCTGTAGAAGATCATAGTTACCAGTGAGAAAAAGATGCTCACAAGAACTGGGGATGTAGAAATAGCAGCGTGCTAAGGAGTCTTTGCTTCAATTCTGACCAGGTGACCTGGTCAGGTTAGAGAAAGGTTAGAGAAAAATCTACCCTTTGTTTTTCTCCATACATTGTTAGGTTAGCAGACCCTTCAAAGGTATGTTTTATGAACCCATGTGTCTGTGGAAAGGACCTGTCATTTTTTCCCCTCACCTGTGTATCTTTGGTAAGACCCTGCCTCCTTTCCCCTCACCCATGTCTGTGGTAAGGCCCTGCCTCCTTTCCCCTCACCCATGTCTGTGGTAAGGCCCTGCCATTCTTTCCTCTCGTCCATGTGTCTGTGGTAAGGCCCTGCCTCCTTTCCCCTCACCAGTGTGTCTGTGGTAAGGCCCTGCCCTCCTCACCTCTTGACATTTTCCTAATAAAAAATGGTTTGCATTATGACAGAAGCTCAGATAATGTTTGTAAATTACTGTGCAGAGCAAGACCTGTTGATCTCGTGATACTTTGGAATCTCTAAGGCGGCTTGCTTTCATGCATACCTTCAGTCTTCCTCAGAATTCTTGGAGCTATATTTTCTAGTTATTGGATTATATTTCCATTTTCTTATACATTGTAGACTCTCCATAATATTTTTACAGGATTTATTAAAATGATTATTCGTAGTTTAAAGTCTAGCCTGCATTTATGAGGTGCGTGTTATATGCAATACATAGATTTGAACAGAAAATAAAGGCAGTGAAAGACATATTCTGGGTGCACATGGGAAAAATTCTTACTTTTGAAGAAATTTCAAGATTTATTTACTATGACAGATTTGAATTTATAAAAGAAAAAAGATGTTAGCACATTGAAATGTTATAGAACACATAGAAAGAAAGCCAAAAGTTAGAAAATATTTATCAATATATTAATTAATCTTTCTATTCAAAAGAATTTATATATATGATATATAATATAATTTTTCTTGAGAAGTAGAATGCAACAGTCCACATGCAAGAAAACAGTAATAGGAAATCTTATTAAGAATAGTTTTTCTAACAGTTAAGGAAAGAGATTAAACATTCCCAAAGTGCATATACTTAGTACAAACGCCATTCAAGGAAGTATGTGGCACAAAATTCATTAGCATAAAAACATACTAGACAAAAGCAAATATTTCAGCCTTTTTATTTCCAAGCCAACTTTTTAAGAAAAGGAATAGATTTTTTAATATTTGTGAAACTTTATAAAAGAATTATTCGAGACAAGGTCTCATGTATCTCAGGCTGGCTTCAGACATATTCTGTAGCTGAGGATAATCCTGGAATTCTGATCTCTCGGAGTCTGCCTCCTAAGTGATGCAGTTATAGGCATTCCCTTCCACACCCAGTTTATCCCTGCTTCTGTGCATTCTATAGCTTTGAACGCATGGTGTGGTATACATCCAACCTATATTATACAGAGGGCTTTTTTTCCCCTCTGCCCTTAAATGTTCCATGCCTGTTTTTCTTTCTTTCTCCCTGTCCTCTACAGAGTTAGGTCATTTGGGGGGCTGGTTGTGTGCAGTAGCACTCTGAGACCGCCCTCTGTTTGGTAGTGACTCTCTATGCGGTCCCATGCTGCTTTGGGTTTTCCCAGCGTGTGTAAATGCATGCTTATGTTGCTTTCCCTAATGTTCCACTTGTAAGCCTTCTATTTATTCTCCACTGCAGAGAACTAGCTCTAGCTTTCTTTTCACCCCTGTCGGGCCCACACATGCACACACATGCTGTTCTCTTCTTTCCTAAATGATTAAATTGTGATTTGGGTTGATTAAAGATTTGGTATTTTCAACCATAAACATCCGTTACAACAGAGTTACACAGCGCGTTATAATTACTCTTCCTTTCCCCACAACATTTTATTCTCCCTAGAGTTAAAAACTGTTGTGAGTTTGATTTTCTGCTCTGTCTCTGTCATTAGCATCTATTCCATCCTGGAAGGTCACAGCTGTGAGCAACTTTGTTGTTACTGTTTTTCTTCAGTGGGTTCAGTCATGGACGCTCTATTATTTTTCTTGTGTTGAAAACAATCTCTTATAGGAACTTCAGAGCCTTGTTAATCTGGCGTTGTTCTCAGTGTCTGCTGAGAGCGATCGAGCCGTTTGCTCTCCCGGAGACCTGTTAGCTCGCCATGTGGCTGTTGTTACCCAGACAGCTGCTGCTTTCAAAATGATGGTCACTGTGTCAGACCGTGGAGAGCGGTGACAGACTCACCTGTGCTTCTTCTTCACGTGTTATACTTGCGTTGACGTCTGTGTAAACACGCAGACACGTTCTTTTACTTTTGGTTGTCTTGTGCAGACCATGTGAGGAGCAGCATTGTATTCTTCCCTGTAGGCTCTCAAACTTCGGGAGATCTGTAATTGCCCGCCCCTCTCTGGACCGGACCCTCGGCTGCTGTTCCAGCTCACCATGAAGCGTTTTCTTGAAGACTCAGAGAAGGAGGACCTAAACGTCACGGTTAAGAAACAGAAAATGGACGCTCTCCCCACTCAGAAGCAGGAGCAGGTACCGCTGACGTACATAGTTGAGGAAAGAACGACAAGCTGAGCTAAACCGTGTGAGACTTGGGGGTGAAGAAGACGGCAATCCTCACCATTTTCGTGCCTCTCTCAGAAATGATTTCTAAATGAACAAGAAATGGATATTCATGGTCAAGTCATGTATATTATAGATATCGGAATTTTTCTAGGTTTGTATCTTTCATGAAATATCAATGTATTTTAAAATACTTAAAATGAGGAAAATGTCACAGAATAAATTTATATTATGCATTTCACTGCCATCCATATTTGCTTTAGGTTTGGAAGTCGGGCCCCTAGTGGATGCATACTCTGACTGTAGTAATTATTTTTAAAAAATTCCTGCTCAGCCTTAAGCAGGTTTTGGAGTCTGGGTGGTTATGAAATGGGTAACTGACAGTCTGAAGGTGATGGGCTGCACTGGGGTAGATGGGTGTTGGGGTGTGGAAAAGGGAATAACTCCTAAACGAAATACCCCCAGAAGGATGCTAGACAGCATTCTGTTCAGAGGCACAGGAGGTGCTGTTTGAGGTTCAGGTGACCTAGTGAGCAGTGCAGTAGGGGAAAGGGGGTCTTCATGCTGTGATGACGAGGGGATTTGGAGGTTCCCAGAGGACACTGCTGTGTTCTCCCCGAGGTCAGTACCTAGAGAGTGGGTGTTGTCCTTATTCTTCTTGCTGGCTGATGGCCAGGTGCTGTGGAAAGACATGGGGGAAGGTGTTCCAGGAACACCGCTGGCGAAGCCAGAAGTTGGTGACCATGTTGTATGGGAATGGAAGCAGATATTAAAACATGAGTTATTTAGCAGTTTTGTTTATGCTGCCAGATTGGTAGCCTTAGGCTTTCTTTTAAAGGAATGGTTTTCTTGAAACACATTGTCTTAGTTAGGGTTTCTGTTGCTGGGAAGAGACACCATGACCACAGCAACTCTTATAAAGAAAAACCTTTAATTGAGGTGGCAGCCTTCAGGTCTGAGGTTTTGCCCATTGTCATCATGGTGGGGCATGATGGCATGCAGGCAGCCATGGTGCTGGAGAAGATGCTGAGAGTTCTACATCTTGTAGGCAACAGGAAATGATCTGAGTGTCACACCGACAGAAGCTTGATCAAGAAACCTCAAAGCCTGCCCTGACAGTGTACACACTTCCTTCAATAAAGCCACACCTCTTAATAGTGCCAACTCTTGGGGACCATTTCCTTTCAAACCACAGCACATATTAAACGGTGCTTTGCTGGAGAACTGGAAGTAAAAGAAAATTCTTTATATGAGTAACTGTGCTCTAGGAGCTGAGCCCTTAAAAGATCTGTTTTATTTTTCCTTAAGTAAGTGTGTGTGTGTGTGTGTGTGTGTGTGTGTACATACATACATACATACATACATACATACACAAGTGCATGTGATGACCAAGGAGGCCAGAAAGGGTGTCAGACCCTAGAACTGGGGTTGCAGGTGGTGATGCGCACCTGACATGGGCTCTGAGAACTGAACCTGGGTCCTCTGAAGGAGCAGGAGGTGTCTTAACTGTGGAGGCTTCTCTTCAGCCCCTGAGCAGAGCCCTTTTTATTTCAGTTATTACACAATCATATGAGGTAAGTTTTATTTTCATTTTATGTTTACAAATGGGCTTGGAGAGGCTTAATAATGTGCCCAGTGTCTCCTACCCAGAAGGAACAAAATTGTGTCTCTGGTTACCAGTTTGTTCATTTGCTCAACTCTCACGTACCAAAGGCAAAGCTATAAAAGGACAAGGGACAAATTGCATTCTCGATCTCTGTTTGGTTCGATATAGGTGAACATCATACACGTCTAAAACCACCGTGCTGTCTGCAGGATGGTTTTCTGAGTCTTCTTAGATCCTTCTGCCAATCTTCATGAGGAACTTGGGGTAAAGGAGAGTGGCAGAGTAGGTCCCCCGCCCCCAAAGCTGGTGAAATCTCGCTTGGGATGTATCCTCATGCTTAGACAAAATGCCCCGTTGTCCTGAAGACAAGTGCGAACCTACTTATGTTTTTCTGACCTTGTAATGTTTTGTTTATAAAGGATTTCTTGATCTGCACACGAAACAGCAGTAGTAAGGGGAGTTTCACAGTAGCTGTTATCTGTGTTGCCATTCTTTATGTGACTGGGGTTTTGTAAGAGTCACCCCATAATGTGTAGAGACGTTTGGAGAGTGTCACCCACAGGACAGCAAAGCATACCATTTGACTTTCCTGGCAAGTTCCTGAGAAGAGAATGTGCTGACGTTCCTACTCTTCTTTTTTCCTTCTGTCCCTCTGGCAAAGGTAACCGTGGTGTTCAGACTTTTCAGGCATGCCTACAAATTGACACCATGTCAGGAAAAGCGTGGGTAAATTAAAGATAACATCTTTTAGTAGATATGAAAGTTTTTAAACTATAGGATCAAACAGAGAAACTTTTGATTTCACCCCTGGATGTTGTGGAGTCTCTTAGCAGTTGATAGTAAGATACTTTCAAGTTTTTAAGTGTTGATGTATTTCCATTGTGTAACTTCTGTTCCTGTCTGTGCTTTTCCTGTGAATGGAGCGTGTAGATGCTGGGCAGTTAGCTCAGCTGTGGGGGTCCTGAAGACAATAGATCGAACATACAAGCTTAGTTCTCCTATACTCCAATGTACGTATTTGCTACTGTTGTTTAACCCTGATAGTGCTTGGCACATGATAGGCATTCAGTTAGAATTTTATTTCTCTTGAATGATCAATATAAATCATTTGTTCAAAAGATTATTTTTAAAGAAGAAGGAATTATATGTTGTGAAAATTTTATCTGATACCCATTAAGTACCTGTGAGTCCCAAGAAATATTTGAGCCCTCATTTCTTCATTCGTATAATGAGCACAGCAACACTCAGACTCGGATGAAAGTATTCTATGAGAGATGCATGTAAGGCATTCAGCGTAGTCAAGAGCTCTGAGCATGAGACAATTCACTCTACTTTTTTTTCATACTTACTTTGTGCTAAGCGCCGTGCTAAAAGTGCTGTTGAACTTCACGGCGTCTTGTATAGGGTAGATGAGTATCACCCTCATTTCCATTGTAGATCGAGAAACTGAAGTTTCGAGGGATAATGAAAGCTTCTTTGGGTGAATCTAGTAAAAAAAGATCAGGAACACAGTTTTCTAGTAAGAACAGACAGATTCAGATTCTACCAAGAAAATGTGTTGTCTCACCTAATAAAACTCCCCAGAAGATACCAACTTGGGATACCGTTTACTACAGAGCGTCATGATGTCATCAGAGCACTGGCTCGTCTTCTTCTGTCTTCCCAGCCCTGGCTTCACTCTGCTTTGATATCTAGATGGCTGCCAGCAGCTCCAAGGGCTACATGCCTCATCCATCCAAGTGTGAGGAGCGACTGTCCGTACAGCCACTGAAACACGCTTTCAACACTAACTGCTTCCTGAAGCAGTTACCATGGTAGCAGCTGGGATTATCCTGAGTGCCTTGGTCCTCATGCATAGCATCCATCAATTTGACTGAGAATGGGTGCAGTTTCCAGCGCCCAAACAGAATCACATCACGGGGTTGGAGGGATGCAGGCACAGCACATCTAGATTGGTCACTGAGTTAGCA